ACAAACCCATTGAGAAGACCAGTTTGCAAGAACTTGGATTGGGTAAAAGGAGTAGTGAGAGGCTGAGAAGAGGAGAGAGAAGGAATGGCTAAGACAGGAGAAGAAGAGGTAAGAGAGAGAGCAAGAGCTAAAGAGATTATGTTTGGTAATAGAGAGATCGAAGAAGATGGTTTAGGGTTTGGCAATGAACATGAAGATTTGGTGACGATGTTGCTTTTTGGCCGTTGAGGGAAGATGAGTTGCAAAGTGACAACCAAACTCATCTCTGTATCTTCTTCTCTTGCAAAATTATTTTCATTTTCACTTTGTAAGCTTAATAATAAAAAATGGCTAATAAATCCATTTATGGGCTTATATGTGTTGGGCTTGAATTTCTTTTCGTAAGCCCAAAGATGAAAGTTGATTTTTTTTTTTTAAGTCACAAAACACAAATTCAGTTTGATTCGGAATAAAAAAATTCTTAGACCGTTCGGATTATTATAAAATTCAGTTCGAATTTGCATTAATAATTTCGTTTTGGATTTGTTTCATAATCACCGCCTGTGGTCGAGGTTCTTAATAATTTGAATTTGCATTAATAATGTTTTACATCATCAAGTTCATTAACCATACACTAGTCCAACAGTTAATAATTCAGAAATAGACAACTTACTAAGAGTAATTATGGAAGATAATTACTAACATCATTATTTTTAATCTAATAATTAAAACATTAATCACTTCATAAAACCTTGAGCCATCTTTGCATAATCTCCAAACCCACCTCCCGATTTCCCATCCTCTTTCTTAGCCGCCGGTGAACCGGTTCCGCCGACACCACCGTGACCACCATCACCTCCGTGTACAGCGCCGCCGCTAACACCGCCGTGACCGCCGGAGGAGTGAGAGTGAGAAGTTTCGTATTTGTGGAGATATTGCTCGGCCTTTTCGAGATACTGACCAACACCGCTTTTTTCATCGAGCTTACCGTATCTAGAAGCGGCGTCGAGGATATCAGCGGTGGCTCCGGCGACTTTAGCTTTGTCGAGTTTGTTTGATTCGTTGCGAGCAGCGGCTTGAGCAGCTTCGGCTACAATCTTGGCACTAGCCATGAGCTCGGCGTTGGTAGCTGGTCTATGTGTGTTTGGATCGGCGTGAGAAACCGGTTTATGAGTTGGATCGGAGTGACCGGGTTTGTTTTTGTTGTGGTTTGGATCCGGTTCTGAACTTTCCGGTTTCTTGTCGGAGAATTTCTTCTTTACTTGATCGGTGAAGAAATCCATTTTTCTCGTCTCAAAAGGAAAAGAAAAAGTTTTTTTTTTGTTTTGTTTGGGATCTTTGAGTTTTGGAAAATGTACAAGAACAAGTTATTTAGGGATGATATTTATGGAAAATCAGAATAATTAGTTATATTTTCTTTGTCCACTAGTTTTGTTTTTGTTCACTTTTTCAATATCCACTAGTTTAATGCGATATTTAAGGAGTCATGACTCTTGCACCATTGATCTCATCTACCTTTAATTACCGGTGAATTATACAGTACCTCTCTTTTTTTTTTTTAGTTTTGTGTATTTTTCCTACATAAATGCTTTACAATATTTTCACCCCACATTTACTTGTATTGGTGGTTAGGTAGTGGATTAGTAAATATTTTGACCCCTTGAACTGGTGTATTTTCCTACGTAAATGCATACTACATTTTCACTATCTTGGATTTTTGATCATAATCTCTAGTACTGTGGTATTTTGATAAAAAAAAATACTTTATTTTGGTGTATTTACTACACTCAAATTTAAAAGAATCTATGGGTTAGTTGAAGCTTTGATGAGTAGCACGGAATAATGGTCCCAATGCAATGCACGTTACCTTATCTAATTCTGATCATTTATTATTTTGTCGGCAAAGTAATAAAAAAAAAAAAAATAGCAGGCTTTAAATAAATGTATAATGGGCCAACTAAAAGAGAGCCCAATTATATAAATCTATTATGAGCCCAACTTTGTTTGAATCATTTCCATTCATAAATTCAACACTGCAAAACAAAATGTCATGAAGATGACCACATTAATATTACTAGGTCAATATCCACGCATACGCACAGATTATTTAATATAAGTTTTAACTATATAATAAAACTAATTGATTTTAGGTCATGATCGAAAAAATAAAATTAGGTAAATCACATTTTATTTAGTCGGAGTGATTTTATTTAGAAATACATATTGGTG